AATCAGAGCCTAAATATCAGAGGCCAAGATCCCCCTTGAAAAGGTTGCCATGGAGACGAGATGCCCGGGGCTGCATGTGCCCACACAGGCCTCAGAGACAACCCAATGCCCTCACTGGGTTGCCATCAACCCCACCACAAGAGGCAGCATTTTGCAGATTGGACACTTACATCGGGGAGTTTCAGTGGTTGCTAGTGGCGACTATGGAAAGCAGGAAGAATACCCCTGATGATTCAGGGGGGCGATTGTATTTGGGTCCATAGAGAAAATGTAACCTCTTTTTCAAAAATCAGGATTGAGGAACTGCTGCAATTTAGAGTCAGACTGGACGTGAAGGCACTGCTTCTTCATTGATGTCAGCCGTCTCCACTGGCAAACTTACAGAATGCCTTACACGTGCTCAATACATATTTGAAGGCTCAAAGCATGTTGGAGCTGCAAAGTATCTGTGGGATTTCTAGGTTCAATCTCTCTCCTGTTTTACCCCGATAAGGAAATTGAGGAAAAGAGGGGAGGAACTATTTGATGGAGGTTACTTGTCAGATGGAACGAGAATATAAGTCGTCTGCCTCCAGGACCCAAGCGTAAGGTTGTGAAGGTTGGGCACTGCACAAAAGCACCTGAACAAGGGGATGAAAGGGGTCTGGAATCCAGGCCACAGCTGGACTGAAGTGAGGTGTGCATTTTTCCTTTCACAAAGGGCCCATCTACTCAACAAGCCAAGTTGACGGGGGGTCATGCCTGTTCCCAGAAATATTTGGATGCAGAAGGGTGATAAGTGGACAGAGGTCCAGGCTGTTCAGCACTGTAGGGGGTTAACTGATTCCTTCTGCATTTGGTAGGCAGAAACTGTGATTTTTGCTGTTCTGTGATCCACTGCACCTATGATATATCTTCTATCTATCTATCTATCTATCATCTATATCTATCTGTCATCTATATCTGTCTATCATCTATGTCTATCTGTCTATCATCTATATCTATCTATCATCTATATCTATCTATCTATCATCTATATCTATCATCTATATCTATCTATCTATCATCTATATCTATCTGTCATCTATATCTATCTATCATCTATGTCTATCTATCATCTATATCTATCATCTATATCTATCTATCTATCATCTATATCTATCTGTCGTCTATATCTGTCTATCATCTATGTCTATCTATCTATCATCTATATCTATCATCTATATCTATCTATCTATCATCTATATCTATCTATCGTCTATATCTATCTATCATCTATATCTATCTATCTATCATCTATATCTATTGTCTATATCTATCTATCATCTATATCTATCTATCTATCATCTATATCTATCTGTCATCTATGTCTATCTATCATCTATGTCTATCTATCTATTGTCTATATCCATCTATCATCTATATCTATCTATTGTCTATATCTATCTATCATCTATATCTGTCTATCATCTATATCTGTCTATCATCTATATCTGTCTATCATCTATATCTATATCTATCTATCGTCTATATCTGTCTATCATCTATATCTGTCTATCATCTATATCTATCATCTATATCTATCTATCATCTATATCTATCTATCTATCATCTATATCTATCTGTCGTCTATATCTGTCTATCATCTATGTCTATCTATCTATCATCTATATCTATCTATCTATCATCTATATCTATCTGTCATCTATATCTATCTATCATCTATGTCTATCTATCTATTGTCTATATCCATCTATCATCTATATCTATCTATTGTCTATATCTATCTATCTATCATCTATATCTATCTATCATCTATATCTGTCTATCATCTATATCTATCTATATCTATCTATCGTCTATATCTATCTATCATCTATATCTGTCTATCATCTATATCTATCTATCATCTATATCTATCTATCTATCGTCTCTATCTGTCTATCTCTCTATCTATCGTCTCTATCTGTCTATCCTCTATCTGTCTATCTCTCTATCTGTCTATCTCTCTATCTGTCTATCATCTATATCTATCTATCTATCGTCTATATCTGTCTATCATCTATATCTATCTATCTCTCTATCTATCGTCTCTATCTGTCTATCCTCTATCTGTCTGTCTCTCTACCTACCTACCTATCGTTGGTTGCATCCATGTAGATCAGGGTAAGCAGCTAGCGGATAGGAGCGCTCGGGCAGAGATCAGGAAGAGCATACACTCTCGCTGGGGGGCACCCGAGGAGTATTCTGTACATTCCTGTCTGTTAGACTGGGTTAGAAGTTCTTGTCCACATCTGCTTCCCACGGTCCTATGGAGTCCTGTCTATGGAATGACGGGTGAGCCTTGTCCTAGGCACCCAGAGTGGAGGCCATGGGGCACCAGAGGCAGGAGAAAACATCTTCCTGTTCCTCAGGGAGGTCGTGATTAATGCAGGAGGAGGGACCGACCCATAGCCCCACAGTCACGTGCAGACATTACGGAAGAGCCTTCAAGACATGTGCAAAGAGAAAGAAAACACTTTCAAATGTTTACGAAAATAAGACAAATCAGGCTTTGCATGCAAATTATTAGGCGGGTGGGTCCGGCACATATATCATCTATATCTATATCTTGGTCCCTTTTTCCGGACGGCCAGGTCTTTTTCGGAGTAAACTAAATTAGGTACTCTATTTGCATTTTCAAAACTCCCATGCTTTGTCCCCTTGTGAATGATCCTTCTGCATCCTGGGTCCTGCTCTAGCTTGGGTTCCTGCCCTTGGGTCTCAAGCCCCCGAGGAGCAGAGCTTTGACAGCCCCCTCCCCTTCCGAGCCTTTTGGTGAAGACTAGCCCTTCCTACCCTTCCTTCCCAGGGGCAGGGCTTCTGCGCAGGAAGCAGGAGGACCACACAAGCCGGGGAGTGATCAGGGCCAATGTGCCCTCAGCCACCCCCAAAAGAAGAAGACTCTGCCAAATGCCCAGAGGCCACAGCGGTGGAGTCGCCATCACTCTCTGGAGACCAGTATCCCCCTCGGAAGCGGTTTGCCTCTTCCCCCGGCAGCTAGGAGCTCACAGAGGAGGAGAAGGCTGAGGGCCAGGATGACAGCTCCGCTGTGGCTCTCCCGTCCCCTCGTGAAAGGGCCCCCCTCCAGAGTCGGAGGCTTCGGCAAGCCAACAGCCAGGAGGGGAGGCTCTGGTCCCGGCCCCCTCTCAATTACTTCCACCTAATTGCACTGGCATTAAGAAACGGTTCCCCCTGTGGCCTCAACGTGCAACAGATCTACAGTTTCACTCGACAACATTTCCCCTTTTTCCGGACGGCTCCTGAAGGCTGGAAGAATACCGTGCATCATGATCTCTGTTTCCGAGACAGCTTTGAGAAAGTGCCAGTCAGCACGCAGGGTGGGACCAGCACACGGCCCCGATCCTGCCTCTGGAAGTTGACCGACTAGGGACACCGCCGCTTTGCAGAGGAGGCCCGCGCCTTGGACTCCACTCGGCTGGAAAGTATCCAACGGTGCATGAGCCAGCCAGATGTGATGCGCTCCCTCTTCGACCTTTAGTTCCACAAATCAACCATCAGCCCATGCCTTATTAAAGTTATCTGCAGGGAAAAAAAAAAAAAATCCCCACTTTGGGCCCAAAGTGCCTGACACCTACTCCTTCCAGAGGGGCCTTATCTGATTAAGCTTTGATTAAACACCACACCCTGGAGAGCAAATCGTCATTAGACACTGCTGATGGGCACCCCAGCACCATCCACTGTGAGGGTGGGGAGTAAAGCCGGTGACCTGAGTGCCCTTTGCCATCTAGGAGTCTGTCATCCGCATTAATTTTCAGGAAACTCAGATTCAGGACAGAGGTGGTGTTTTGTTTTCTTTTGTTTTTTACTCCTGAGTACAGGCCATTGTTTAGTTTTCCCAGAAAAGCTCAGGCATTGGGTGGTTTTTTCAGAGGATGGCGCAGACAGAGTTTCCTTCCAGAGGAAAGGTTCTGATGGGACCAGCCAACCAATACATCACCCTGTGTCAATTGCACAGCCAGTGGCATCTAAGATAGCTTTTGCTCTGATCTTTACAGCAGTGAATGCAAAACGAGATTCCCAAACTCTGTGTATGTCTACGTCAAATGATCAAAAACTCAACTGAGAAGTTTCTCCTGCTGTAGAGGGAGGGGTCTTGGAAAGGACTCAGGAGCAGAGGCCATTTAGAGAAGGGCCTTTGTCCCGATCTTACCCCCGTTACCTCTCCATCGGCCGGTCACCAAGGAGACGGTGCCAGATAATACTTGCCTTCTCTAGAGCCCAAACTGCGAGCCTGCACCTCACCTGTGACATTTCATTACATCAGTACAACCTCCCACTATGTAGATATCACTTCCCCCGGTTGTTCTCTGGGGAACTGGAGTTCGGTTGGGTCAAGTAACTTGCGGAAAGTCATATAGCTAGTGATGAGAAGATCCAGCACTTAAACCCAGGTTCCCTGAGTGCGAAGCCCATGCTCTTGTCAAAACACCAAATTTCCTTCCTCTCCAGCTCTAGATGGGCACCCCCTGGGGCTAAGCCCGGGCTGTGAACAGATACAAGGGTAGGAGAGGCAGCCTCTCTTCCTGCTGTGGGTTTGAATCATCACGGTAGCCTGACGTGGGGTGGGGACTCCGATAAGTGTGAGAGTCGCTGCTTATCAGACCCGGGCTCTGTTTGCACGGTCATCATTTAACCCCTCTAAGCCTCAGTTTCCTTAAAGAGGAGAATAAGAATAGAGTGTTTACTTCAAAGACTTGTTGGGCGATGACAGGACAGGTGCCTGTCTTGGGCTTGGCCAGCCACGTAGCAACTGCTCAATACGTTTTAGGGGGAACACGCCAAGAGTTTCCAATCCTCTTAGGGTAAACTAGCTTGGTGAAGGGGGAGAGATGCCACCCCCTAGAAGGAGAATCAGAACAGCGCTGACACCTGTAGGTCGATCGGGTCCTGATGTGGGGTGCTCATGGCTCCCGGTCGGGGTGCCCAAAAAGTGTGGCCCTGGGGTTCGTATTTTCCAGTCATCACCATCTTCAAGGGGAAGGTGGAGGAGGTGGAGCTGCCCGAGGAGAAGGTGGACGTCATCATCAGCGAGTGGATGGGCTACTGTCTGTTCTATGAGTCGATGCTCAACACCGTCATCTTTGCCCGGGACAAGTGGCTGGTGAGCCTGCTGCATGCTGTCCCTTCGCTGGTCTGCTGGCTGCCTCGCTGCTCTACCCTACCGCCTGCAGCCCAGGAAGGATACAGCCACTGCTTCCGGGCCCCTCTCTTTAAACTAGATTTGCTTCTGGGGACAGAATGAGCTTTCTTAGGTCTGACCTTGGCCTCTTTTGGTATAATTGACACCCATCCTTTGCTGTCCAAAGTCTATGCTGGTCACCAAGTGCTAGGGACTTGCATGGCTGCCAGAGAGCCCAGTGTGCTTTTGACCTTGGCTTCTCCAGGCTCAAAAGTTAAAACATCTTCCACCGTCCCTCACTGGACATACCTCTGCCCCTTCTCATGTGTCCCATTGACCCCATCTCGGCCCCTTGAGTTTTCCCATGTACCAAAGTCAAAACTGAGCTTCCCTGCCCAACCCTAGTCCCGGCCAAGGTGACAGACAGTCTGCTGAGTGAGAAATACTGGCAAGGGGGTGCCTGTCTGGTGACTTTATGTGCAGTTCAAAAATATGATGTCTTTGTCAGGTGAATAGATTACGAGACCCATTTCTCCACAATTCATCAACAGAAACCTGGAGGGCTTATGTTTCCAGACCGGGCAGCATTGTACGTGGTAGCAATTGAGGACAGACAGTACAAGGACTTCAAAATCCACTGTAAGTTACCTTTTGATTCTCTGTTGGGCCTTTTTTTTTTTTTTTTTTTTTTTGCAGTACGCGGGCCTCTCACTGTTGTGGCCTCTCCCGTTGCGGAGCACAGGCTCCGGACGCGCAGTCTCAGCGGCCATGGCTCACGGGCCCAGCTGCTCCGCGGCATGTGGGATCTTCCCGGACCGGGGCACGAACCCGCGTCCCCTGCATCGGCAGGCGGACTCTCAACCACTGCGCCACCAGGGAAGCCCTGGGCTTTTTTATTTATTTATTTTTGCGCGTTTGGGGTGGACAGCGCTTCAGCGGGCTAACGATGAGCAGCTGCTCTCGCGGCCACAGCTGCCGTGCCTCTGGAGTTTACCTGTGACGCTTTCTGGATTCTTCTCTCTGGATGTTTTCCCCTGGTCCCAAGAGTGGGGTTCTACAGAGAGGGAATAAGCAGCGTGGCTGGTGGGAGATAAAGTGGCGAGAGAATGAACACAGTGCGAGTGGAAAATGGACAAAGCAGTAGAAGCCGAGTTTTTGCAGAGCTGCCCGGGGGGCTGGAAGCTGTTAAGGGCCATTTATCCCCAGCGTCCACACAGGGGCAGGGACCACGGGTCTCCAGCCAGGCCAGTCGTTTTGAACCCTGCGTTTGTACCCTTCAAACTTTTCAGCGTAATATTGATTCTCTTTCCCATTAAGTAAAAGATGGGGAGAGATGGGGTCTGGCCATGTAGGTGCTGGGGGCAGGCAGGAGACTTATCCGCACCTGTGTTCATTATGTCTCATCAACTGAAAACGTGTTGTCTCAGAAAAAAGCCCCCCACACCCTCCAACGTTTCATCGGGTCCCCAAAGGGTTGCTGTGTTCTATTTCATTTAAAGGGTAACCATTCTCAGTGACACAAACCTGGTCCTCCACGAGATTAAACGGATTATGTTTTCATAAGGTTTAGAGACAGCCATGTGTCCTCAGCCAGAACTAAAACGACCAAGGGGCAAAGACCCCACACACACAAGCGGGCACGCGTGCGATGTGACCAGAGCACAAGCAGAAATTCCAAACGGTCTAATGGGCTCTGCAGATCTGGGTTCCAGCCCCTGCAGTGCTAAACCCCCTTGGCAAGACTACCTACAGTGGAGGGGTTCCCAGACGGGATAGATGGGCCTCCTGCCCCCAGAGGCTAGGCCTCCAGAGCTCAACAAAGTCTTGTGCCGTCTAATCATTGTTCGTGCTGCTGGCGATACCACAGCTGGGCTGTGCCACAGACTGAGTGCATCTGCGTGTGTGTTCACACCCTTCTGGAAATATAAACTCAGAGCATGAAGTTCAGAGACGGGTTCGGGAGAAGACAGAAATGGGACGATTGTCTGAGGCTCTGTGCCCTGTGCCTACAGCCCTTCTGGCATCATTTCCAACACTCGATAAACAATGAGAGGTGGGGGGCCGAGGTTAGATGACCCTGCTACGAAGTTGGCCAGCCCTGGCTTCACATCCTATGGGTGACCGTGAGCAAATTACCTAACACCTCTGAGCCTCGGTTGAGATGAAGTCCCCAATCCTACAGACTTGCCATGAGGATTAAGTGAGGTGATATATACTAAGGGACGTGAGATTTGTTGGTGCTGCGTGCACCAGCCTGGTCTCCGAATGTATCACTAAACCCCTTCCTGCTCATGGCTCTGGCCCCCGAGCCTGACTCGTTGGCTCGTTGGCCTCCAGTGGCTCAGAATCTAGGACAGATGTGCCCTCCTGATAAGTTTCAGAAACAGCTCAACAGTGAATGTTGATCAAATGCATATATAAGTAGGACATGTTTTGCCCTGGAGCTGCACGGTAATGCTGTTTTTGGAGTTCTTGCCGTAACTGTGTAAATCGTGTTTGGGGGAGAACATTCAGACCCATTCTTTGTTCTCACGTGCACTAAATATTGATTGAGCTCCGACCCTCGGCACAGCTCTTTAAGGAACTTCCTCATGGCTTAAAAGCAAACATACCTCACCCTCCTCCTTGCCTGGATCATGGACCTTGGCTAACTCATCTTGCAATGAGGACTGGACCCGTCCTGACAGGCGCTGGGGCACTGGCCGCTACTCAGGTGCCAGCCCAGGACTGGAGACCGTGGGGTGGAGTCTTGTCCTGCCCATTGCAATGTTCATACCTTCTGAAAAAGAAAAGAAAATTAAAAGTCAGCCCCATTTTTTCTTGTGGAAACTCTGTAGTCTGTCAACACCACTGCCCCCCAAACCAAAAATCTCACGCACCTTTACATTTTATTTAACATATTCTCGTTTTCTATTTAAACGTTGTTTTTTTTTTAATGCCCTGCTTCTGTTTTTAGTGAAGGAAGCAAGCCCATTTAGAAATCTGTTTTAAATAAACAGGGATTTTGATTGCTCTCAGGTCTTAATCAAGAGTGAAAGCAAAAAGGTTAATGATTGCCAAGGGAACAATCGTTAGCAAATTCCAGTTGGCTCAAGAACCAGCTATAAAAGAAAAATCTTAAAGTGGGGCAGGAAAGGGAGACAAGCCCAGTCCCTTGCAGAAAGGAAATTAAGAAAACAATTTGTCCCCTTCCCTCCCCCCTTCTCCTCCCCTCCCCACAGAAAGAGAGACATGATTGTCATGTATGAGGCTCACCGTGCATATTTTGTTGAATGAATGAATGAGAAAATGAATGAAGGAATAGAAGTAAACCAGCAGACGGATGTGCAAGGTGGACGGTTTAACCCTGAGAGAGGAGCAATCATTAAAATTTTTTTTTACTCTGGGGATTTCTAGAATCTGAAAATTGGAAGGAAATTTGGTAGATATTCTATTTGATTTTTTTGCCCAGTACATGAATCTAGAACCTGCTGAGGGTCAGAGGATGGGCACCAGCTTCCCCACCGACGAGAAGGTGACAAGGAACCCCTCGTGTAGATTTGGTGGTGCCTGTAGCTGAAGGGTTGAAGGGCAGAACCTCTTGGAGGGCTCAGATGCTCTCCATGGGTTTCCCTTCCACCACCACCCCGACGTCCAGAGTTCTATTTCTAGCCTATTTTACACAAGGAGCTGACTTTGATCTGAGAGCCTGAAGTGTATTAAACTATTATGCACACCTTCCTTTCTGACTAGAGGAGAAGCTGTAAGTGGCACCTCGTGGCACTTGCTCTGGTTTTCTCTGAGGCAGTCCCGTTTGCCCTAGCAGGGAAGCTCCAATTACTTGGGCCAGGGAAGGGAGGGATTATGTAGCTACAGGTCTCTCCAATGAAGAGTGAAATTTGTTTTCCGGTCTTTCATATTCCTGTCTTTGTTTACAGTTTTATTATCTCCTCTGATACATCCATTCGCTCATAAGCCCATTGGAAGAATTCTTCATCTTTGATATTGTGATTTTCACTTCCAGCATTTCCACTGGCTCTTTTTTATAGTTCCCATCTCACCGATGAAATTCTTCGTCTGTTCATGCATGTTTTCTCCATTAGATTCTTTTTTTTTTTTTTAAATAGGCAGTCTCTCTCTACAGGTTACATTCTTTTTTTTAAATAATTTATTATTTATTTATTTGTTGTCTGTGTTGGGTCTTCATTGCTGTGCACGGGCTTTCTCTAGGTGTGGTGAGCGAGGGCTACTCTTCATTGCGGTGAGCAGGCTTCTCATTGCGGTGGCTTCTCTTGTTGTGGAGCACAGGCTCTAGGTGCGTGGGCTTCAGTAGTTGCAGCACTCGGACTCAGTAGTTGCAGTGCATGGGCTCAGTAGTTGTGGCTTGTGGGCTCAGTAGTTGTGGCTCGTGGGCTCTAGAGCACAGACTCAGTAGTTGTGGCACATGGGCTTAGTCACTCCGTGGCATGTGGGATCTTCCTGCACCTAGGATCAAACCCGTGTCCCCTGCACTGGCAGGCTGATTCTTAACCACTGTGCCACCAGGGAAGTCCCTCCATTAGATTCTTTAAAATATTTATTACAGGTACTTGAACGTCTCTGTTAGATAATCCCAACACCTGATCTCTGAGTCTGTTTCTATTGACTATTTTTTCTTTTGGTGATGGGTCATGTTTTTCTTTCTTTTCCATGTGTCTTGTAATTTTTATTAATGCTGGGCCTTGTGAGTAATGCTGGACAGTAGAGACAGATGCATAATTTATGCCCAGAGAAGAGCATGCCTTTTCCTCTGCCAGGCCATTAAAGTGGGACTTTTAGTCCATCTGGTCTGTAGTTATGGTAGGTCTGGGCTTTGTTGCTGCTTTAGTTACATTCATTGCACCATAGCATGGTCCTTTTCAAGAGTTTGTTTTAATACATAAACTAAATTTCACAGGTCCTTCTGATGTTATTTTTTTTAATCCCCAGAAAATTAATTACAATATTTCCTGCTGGCTGATGACCCTCACCCCCCATTCACTCATTCAATAGACAAGACAGAATTACAACAAAAGATTAATATGCTTGATGTCTATCCTCTCCCATCCCTGCCTCGCGTATGGTAAAGAAGCTAGTGGGAAATGAATGGTCAGCAGAAAGGAGAGAAAAGTCTAATGTCCTGGGTGATCGGTCGTTGAATAACTGGAAGTGGGGCAGTCTGGCTGGGGAGATAAGACACGAATTAACCCCTAAGAAGATAACTAAAACACGAGGCACTGTGAAGCAGAACAGGCTTAAAAGTTTGGGAATACATTCCAATTAGAAAAGCGTTATCCGTGGACCTCTCCTGGGCCAGATGCTCTGCTGTAGGTGCTGGGGATACGGGAGGAGAGGCCCCATGGTTGAGAGTCGTTGGAGAAGGTGTCACAATGGCCATTTGAGACTTTAAGTCCATTTGAAAGGGACTTCGAAAATTATTTAGCCCAGGGATTTCTAACTGGTTGGAATTGCCTATGTAGTTTAAATCCATTTGAAAGGGACTGGAAGGGACTTCGAAAATTATTTAGCTCAAGGATTTCTAACTGGTTGGAATTGCCTATGTAGACGTGAAAATTCCAGCTCACGGGGGCGCAAATCTGGAGATTCTGATTCAGTAGGTCCGATTGTGGTCCAGGAATCTGTATTTTAAAGAGTGTCCCAGATGATTCCGGAACACAGAACCACGGAACCAAACTCCTCACTTTACAAAACAAGCCAGAGATAAGGGGACTGATCTGCTGAGGTCACACAGCTTGGATGGTGGCAAAGCCAGAGTGCAAACCACATAACGGCGGCAACAATTGTGTATCAAGGGCTTTCTATGGGCCAGGCACTGTCTTATGTACTTTACATATATTATCACATTTAATCCTCTTAACTCTATAGAGTAACTATCAAGATCGTCATCTCCATTTAAAAGAAGAAACCAACTCTTTGGGAGGTTAAATTCTTGCCTGGAGTTGCACAGCAAATAAACAGCGGAGCCCAGATTTGAAGCCCAAAGCCCAGGACTTTAACCATTACCCACATAGACTCTTAGATATCTGCCTGACTTTTTCACTGAACCTTAACTTAAAGCAGGGCTGGGAGAGGGAAAGAGCAGGTACGTGGCTGCAGGTCTCTTGAGAAGGGGTTTTAAACAAAGGCAGTGTGTTTTGGTGTGTATGTTCTATCTGGGTGAGCAGGGACAGCTATTTCCAGATTCTAGAAGGAGGTCTTCTCTGAAGCCTGTGCTGTTGACACACTTCCCCAAACATAGGTAGGTTCAGTTGGGACTTTGGCACCAGCCTCGTGTATGTAATGGGATCTGACTGGCATCTTATCCTCAAGCCAGAATTTCACAAGTGCTCACCCTCTGGGAGATGCTTATTTTCTCGGCCTCTTCTCCCCGAGGAAGGTCTTTGTGTGCCCTTGAAAAGAATCTGAGTAAAAGGGGCACAGCTTTCCCTGACCATGCACACCTCCCTCCTCCCACCCCCCTCTCCTAAACACATGCAGGCTCAGGAGTTCCCTAAGGTACCATTTGTTTGGTGAACATTTAAAAAAAATTAATCCTGTAAGATTTTAGAGAAAAGCGTCTCTACTGCAGTGTATTTCTAACCCCTCTGAATAAACGGACAAGTGAGATTTCAGCTGGCCAGTAACTGAAGACTCCGCTAAGGTGCTCTCTGCGCTGTGGGGAGAGCAAATGGCATTCCTGGTTGCTGTCACGACTGAGTCAGTGCAGCTGAAGGATTAGGACCCAAGCTGGGTTTGAGCCCCAGCTCCACGGTTCCCCTGCTGTGGGATATTGGGCCAGATACTGCATGTGAGCTGGATGCCAGCTTCTGCAAGCCCCTGTTTTCTCATCTGTCATATGGAGGTGTCCTCACGGGGTTGCTGGGGAGATTCAATGAAGGGTCTGGCCAGGGCTAGGTGATCAATCAATGATTACCATCATTTAAGGGTGATCTTGGACCATCAGACCTGCATTCATTTACTCTCCAACCCTGCATCCTGAATACATCCCCTGCTTAAAGCATCTTATGAACAGCCCCAAGGGGCCAAAGAGCACTGTTGGGGTGCTTTGTGCCCCAACGGGGGGATATGTCTTACGAGATGCATCCTTAGAGAGAACATCATGGCGTGTGAGAAAGTTAAGCCCTCTCCTGGACTACCCCTGCCCCTGCCCCTGCCCCTCATTTCTTCAGTTGAGAAAATGGAGGTTCAGAGAGGTTAGGAAATTTGCACAAGGGCCTGGCCAGTAAGTGGTGGTGCTGGCATTCACGCTGCAGCCTGTTTCACTGAAAGCCCATGTTTCTTTCTGCTGCTTGAGAGGTTCAGCTGGCGGGGATGGGAGGAGGGAAAGAGATGGGCCTTGTAGGTGTGGAGAATGACTGGAACAAAGGCTCCGAGGTAGAAATGTGGACGGCAGAGGAGAGAGTCCGTAGGAGACTCTGAGGCTCAGAGAGGGGGCAGGAGAGCAGGTACAGAAGAATCAGGAGTGTGGGCTCTAGTCCTGACCCAGTGGGAGTCTGCTGTGTGACCTTGGAGAAGTTTCTCAGCCTCTCTGAGCTTTACTTTTCCTAACCCTAAAGTGGAACCTGTACAGATGAGATGGTGTGAATGAGCGTCTGGCACATTGCAGAGCTCTCCACCAGGCAAGCAACTCTCCTGTCCTCAGGCACGGGGACACAAGCTGCCCCCCACCCTCTAGGACTCAGGAGGGTCGGGAGACTTCTGGGGGTCCTGCTGCCACTTCTCGCTCTCTTCCCACAGGGTGGGAGAACGTCTATGGCTTTGACATGACCTGCATCCGGGACGTTGCCATGAAGGAGCCCCTGGTAGACATCGTGGACCCAAAGCAAGTGGTGACCAATGCCTGTTTAATAAAGGTCTGCAGACGCGGCTTCCTCGGGCCTGGGTGTGCGGGAACCTGGCTGTGCCACCTGGACGCTTGGGCCTAGAGTAGAGGCCGCGCCAGCTCCTGCGGGGCCCCAAACTGTGAGGCAAGGCCACCCTGGCCAGAGCCTCTGGCAGCCCGTGGTGACCCGTCAAAGCTGGCACTGTCACTGAGCAGAGCTGGGGAGAGAGCGCCACTGGACTCCACGTGGCACAGTTGGGGGGTGGGCGGTGCATGTCCCTTGGTGCTGTGAGGGGGGAGGGGTGTCGGGTGGGCTTGGAGGAATATCCGAGGGAGGACACCCTGGAGGCTTAGGTGGGGGGAAGCCCCTCCATTCCGAGGGCGCTGGCCTCTTAGGCAAGAAATCCCACACCTCAGTCTGCCGTGTGAGCAGCCTCACGCCCACACCTCTAAGCACACATCTGACCCGGCCGCACGGAGCTCCCTCCTCCTGAGTGCCCTTGTTGGTGCGGGCCCTCACATCTTGTCCTCCAAGGCTTTCTTCAGCGCAGACGGAGAACAGCTCGCCAGCATCCTCGGCAGACCAGTCCTTACGCAGTGCATTCTTATCACTAAGTATCAGACGTGCCAAACTTGCTGGGGTACAGATAAAAGCCCCCCGAGACCTCCCCTCCCTCGCAGCCCCACACTCCTCCTAGAGGTAACCGCTGTCCACAGGATGAGCTGATCTTTCCAACCCTTTTTCTAAGTACCTGCATTTACATATGCTAATCTATCCTGTCCAACGATGGAAAACTCTTGATATTTCACTACTTTTCTTAAAGTCTAGAAAGACATCCGTCTCATAGGCTTCAAGTTAATGTTTCAATCGAAGAATCTGGGTTCACTGTGTCCGTTGTCCTCAGCCCTCCCAGCCCTCACCTTGCTGAAGCATACCCTCCCGCCCTGGTCCTGTGCACCTCACTGCTTTTTCGGGAGCTCTGGGTGGACGCAGCGGGGAAGAGCCCAGGGGCGAGGGGAGGTTTCTGCAGGACTGATGCAAACGGCTGCTCTGTCCAGGTGAGAACGGTCCCTTGTCCCTGGTCACAGTCTTCCTGAGAAGAAACGCAAGGCTTGTCACCATGGCATTTCAAAGGGACCTCAGAGGACAAATAAAACTAGAGGTACCTCGTACAGGTCCCATCAGATAGACACCGCCTCCCTTTTGGAACATCCTGCCTGAGGATTCTGGCTCCAAGTCTAAGCCTTGGCCTCACACCGAAGGGTGTTGCTGCTTCTTAACTCGGCCCTTTCTGAGTCCAGGCAGGGTTGATGAGAAGCAAACGTCCTCTTATTTCTTCCCACCAGCCCCTCTGTCCCCGAAGCCTCTCTCTCTGGCATCCCAAACAAGATCCAGCAAAGTCCACCCCAAATAACTCACCCGTAGTGCAGAGCATGGCTGCCAATACTGTAGTACGAGTGGAAATCGCCTGGTGTGACTGCATTTGCCAAAATGACGCACGGCAGCTGTATGGAACCGATAGGCGTCTGCCCATGGTGGCGTGGGGATAAGATTCCTTCAATGTGCTTGGGCCCTGGGTCGCTCTCTGCCCCTGCCCTGCAGGTGTGGCCACGGCACTTGTGCACATCCAAGGCTGGTCCCAGACTGGACTGCTCTGTCCCCCCCCACCCCGCCTCCCTCTCCCCTTCCAGCCAGGAACAGGCAAGGGTCTCTCCTTGGTTACACCTGAGTGCACCCTGGGACTGTGGGTATGGCGGAGCTGGAGCTCTGGGCCCTCTATGCATGTCACCTTTCTTCCTGAGCTCTGAGAAGGGCAAGGACGGCTGTGTTTGCTTCTGCCACCAGGAGAGCCATCCGTCAGCTCTCGCTAATGTGCTCAGCACCATCTTCCCTGGGAAAACACTTGCCCTTCTTCACGCGCTTAATTGCTATTTTCATCGCTATTAACGTTGGGGCTTGTGACACTTTATTATAATTAAGACTGTTTTGACCAGACTTCTGATCTGAGACATCCATTTGTAACATGATGTAGTGATGGGGACAGCATCGGCCGGGGCCCCTCTGAGTCACCGATGCCTGCGGAGCCCTGCGCCTGGTGGGGCGGCCTGAGGCCGAGCCAGGGGTCTCGCTGGGGTCTCAGGGATGCTGCGGTGGCTGCTGAAAGAGAAAGCCTTCTGGCAAAGGGATCAGGGCTCTGGGGGCCAGCATAATGCGTCTGCCTCTGGACACTTTGGGCCTGAGAGGAGGGAGGGCCCTGACCAGAGGCCTTTGTGTCTCTGAGGCCCAGTCACAGCTGACGCACCCACACAGACTGCCTGTCCCCACTCCAGAGACCAGCGGTCGCCTCCCTCGCGCCCATTCTAACGCAGATCATCCTTTCCGTCTGGACGGTTTTTGCTCCTTCGGAGGCCCCTATTAAGATGCAAATGTCCACAGGACCTAGAGAACACTGTCAGGACATTGGTGGCTGACGTTGGTTGATGGACATCTGAGACCCTATAGAGACGGAATCCCCGATAGATGGGGTGTTTCTCTGTGTGCGTGTGTGTGCGTGTGTGTGTGTGTGCGTGCGCGTGCGTGTGCATCGTTGTTCTTGTGCAGGCTGAGAGTGGTGACGAAGCGAGGCGAGGACAGAGGAGAAAGGAACCAGGAGGAGGAAAGGTCCAGATGAGTCTACTTCCCAGGCCCCTCTCTGAGTCCAGGCCAAGAGGCTTGGATACTTTTAGGTAAACCACAGAAAGTCGTGGAAGACTTTAGATCCAGGGAGTGGTATAGTGTGAATGCGTCTCAGAGAGATTAGTTGGTTGGTCTGAAGGAGAAGCCTGGGGAGGGGATGGGAAGGAGAGTCCTCAGGCAGGGAGACAGTTTTAGGAGAAGAGTGGTGCGTGTCAGGGGTTACATCGCTCACTGAGGGCGCACAGACCATAACGTCCAAACCCCGCGTCTAAAGGGCTCCAGTCTAATGGTGTGGACAGGGGCGGAGGTGGTGAGACCCCTGAGATGAGCCAGAAGCAGGGTGGAAAGACCAGGCGAGGCCCGTGGCCGAGGGCGCCCGAGAGAAAGGGACGGGGACCTTGGAAGGAGCCTGGAGCCTGGCGGGCTGGCCCCAATGGAGAAGGAGAGGAAACGTCAGTGAATGTAGACAGCGTGAGCCCGGCCCAGTGGACTCTACCGAAGCCCTTAACAAAATCACAGTTAAGCACAGCTGCGCTAAGAGTTTTTGGGCTGGAGGGGCCTGCAGACACGTGGCCGAGAGGGATGGCAAACGTCATAAGCTGACAGGTACTGGGGCTAAAAAGATTTCCCCAGTGGGGGCAATGGCCCAAACTAACAGGGTGACATGTAATGAAGGACCCTCCCCCCTGCGCTCCGGTCCCAGAAAGAAGGATTATGAGAGGGATGCTGTGGGGAGGGGCTTGGCCGGCTAAAGGCAGCTGGAGCCGGCAGAGTGAGCTTCGAGGTCAGAGGCTGCTAGAAGCGGGTCCCAGATCAGGAGGGTGACGGCGTCAGAGGCCATGACTCAGGAGACGCAGTTTATGCTGGAGAAGAAAAGGTTTAGGGGACCCACGTGAGCATGAGCGGGCGGTGGCTTGTTCCGTGGGTGGAAGTTACAGAGGCTGGTGAGGGCCCTGCTCGCTAGTTTAGAAGCAGGACCTACGACTGGAGACATCGGGGAAGGATTGGCTGCCTGGTTGGCAGTGAGTGCATCCTCCCAGGGGGAGCACAGGAGCCCACGGCAGCCACTACCTGGGGATGCTCCCCAGGGCTCTTGCGTTCTCGCGGTAAAAGGGGACTGGCTTTCTAACCCCATCGAATTCTGCATGCCTGACCCGGGCTCACAGGGACCTTTAGCCCTGTTCCCCATCCTTAAGCTTGCATCTGAAGTGATGTCACCGACATCGAAGGCTCCCACGGTCCCCTGCACCTGCAGTCCCACCCTCTTCCCAACCGACAGGTCAGAGGAGGTCACAGCTGCCAGCCCGCACCGTAACAAGGCTCTGGGCTGGCTGGCTGCCTCGACCTCACCTGCGCCTCTGTCCACTGACCTCCTGTGGAGACAGGACTTGGCTTTGAAGTCCCCAGGATGCTTTGCATCAGTTTTTCCTTTATTCATCCTAGAAACGTGTAGAGATAAAAGTCTCTGTCTCTTCGCTGCTCTTGTTTCCCCACCCGGAGACCCCTCTCTCCTAGTCACTCCCAACATCTTCCATCATCCGGGTCTCAGGGGCGCCCCTTGGGACCGTTCCAGGCACACAGGTGTCTGTCTGGCCCGTACAGAGCTTTCAGGACGGAGGTCTCTGCCATACAGCCCGGCAGTGGGAGGGATGCCTCCTGGGCCTTGGGAGGTCTGCTGTGTCTTGCTGGAGCCGGCCAACGACGGGTCAGCATCCTTCTCGCAGAAAGAGCACCATGTTGCAAACCATTGTTCATTTTACTCCCGCTCGCAGCAAGACTGATGTGCAACCGCTTCCCAGCTGAAACTGTTAGAACGATGAGTTCCTTGTGTTGTCCATTCCTAGCTGGAACTGAAAAGTTCTCACCTCTTATTTCCCCCTTTCATTTGTTTTTAACTGTCTGGGCTTGTGGTAAATGGTCGGCTGACTTCCCCAGGCTCAGTCCGTGACTGTGCGGGCTCGGTCCTCACTCCTGAGATAATACTCCATACCTCGTATTGCTGGGAAGGGAGCAGTCGGATCCGCCGGAACCTGGGAGGGCTTGGCAGGGCATACACTGCTGCCTTGATTCAGTAGGTCTGGGATGCCCTCCCCTCCCCGCCCCACTCCTTGGAATGCCCCACCCCCACCCCGGTGATGCCGACGTGCTCCTCCAGGGACCACAGCCTGAGAACAGCTAGATGCACTAGTGATGCTGAGGGGGACTGCTCTGAGGATATTTGGGTTGGGTTTACGGATGCTCTAATTCATCCTCTTCTCCTCTCCCCTCCCCCACATCAGCACTCATCCCCAGAAGATTTCCTTCCTGATTCTGTTGTCCTCAGGCTCTGACTCAAATCTCTTTGCAGCATTGCCTTAGCAGACTCCACCCTAGAAAGGATGGAGGAGGTCATGGGGAGGGGGGTGGGTGGGCCTGGGAAGTCCCCCCGAGAGCCATGACACCCTGGGGAGTCTGCCATCCATAGTCTCCCTGGGGAATGAAGCTGAGGACGGCCCAGACCCGGTGGAGGCACTAAGCGTCCGCATTCTCTCTTGTCTGGGCTGCAGGAGGTGGACATCTACACGGTGAAGACGGAGGAGCTGTCCTTCACATCCGCCTTCTGCCTGCAGATACAGCGCAATGACTACGTCCACGCCCTGGTCACCTATTTCAATATCGAATTTACCAAGTGCCACAAAAAAATGGGGTTTTCCACAGGTGAGCCTTCTGCTGGCCTTCCAGACCCTCCTGGCCTCGTGCCAAGGCTCTGTGGGGAGTGACCTCCCCGGCCTGGACGAGGGGCAAGGGCTGGGGGCATCAACCAGGGGCCCTCACTTAGCACCTCCTAAGCCTCTCCAGCCGTGGAGGAATCGCACGTCCCCAGGGTTTTGGCTGCCCGAGGAGAAGGTAAAAAACTTGTGGCTGGTGTGGCCAGAGCTGAGAGCAAGTGTCGGGTGGGGAGAGGCAGGCGTGGAGGCCACCCTTCAAGTGCACGTTTGTTCATTTAGTGTTTCCCGAGCCCCCTCTGTGTGGGTGGAGGATACGGAGGTGCCGGATGACGGATTCAGTGTCTGCTTCCCTAGGCTGCAACCTGGCTCTACGTCTCCTTCCTGTCTTCCCAGCTTCTGTCCATCCTCATTAAGTCCCTGATGTGCTCCAAACTCCTTCAGAGGTGCCTCACTGCCTCTAGCAGATAAGCCCAGATTGCTTAGCCTGGTAAATGGCAGGGGGTTGGTCCCCTGACCGGCCCCATCCCGCTTCCCCAGCCTCGTCTCTCAGCACCCTTCGCGCTGTGCCGTCCACCCCACCCCTTTGCTGCCACACACGCAGCCCAGCACACGCTGGCCGGGCAGCTCTCTGCGCCCAGGCATCTTCAGTCCCTCGGCCGTGGCCTCTGCACGCCCCAACCCCTCGTCCATCCACAGGGCAGTGGTCTTCTGTCAGATTTGTCTCCTTCCCTGCTGTATTTGTCTGCTGGGGCCACTGTAACCAAGTATTCCTCATGGTTCTGGAGGCCTCTGGAGTTTTCTCTTGAGGCCTCTCTCCTTGGCTTGCCAACGGCCGCCTTCTCGCCGTGTCTTCACATGGTCCTTCCTCTGTGCTCATCCCTGGTGTCTCTGTGAGTGTCCTAATCTCCTTGCTCTACAAGGGCACCAGCCAGATTGGATGAGGGCCCACACTAAGGGCCTCGTTTTAACTAAAGACATTCTCTCCGAACACGTTCATATTCAGAGATCCTGGGGGTCGGGGCTCCAGCACATGCATTCTGAGGGGAGACGATTCAGCCTATGGCAACTCCCCCATCCCTCTCCTCACCTGGCCACCTCCGGCTCAGGCTGCGTCTCTCAGCTCAGGTATTATGATCCCCTCCTTCCCTCTAGGGTCAAGGTTAGGCCTTCCTCCCGGGGCTCCCTAACATCCTGTGCTTACGTCTGTCATGGCCATGCTTAAAGCGATACGGGTGCAGTCTAACAAAAAGACAACAAAAGGGTATAAAAGGGGCATAAAAAGTTAAGGAAAAAGACCTCTCCCCCACCCATCCCAATCCCGTACCTGAGAGGTATATTTGTTCACGATTTATTTCGTAGCCTTCTGAAAAATTTCAGTGGTGCACAAGCAACTACATACCTATATACACTTTTTTTCCTTTTTATTTGAAATAATTATAGACTCACAAGAAGTTGCAAAAATAGTCCATAGATTTCTGGGAATCGTAGACCCAGCTGCCTCCGCTGGTGGTATCTTCCATGACAGGAGTATGACATCCAGCTACACTTTTCTTGAAAACACAGGTCGGCTCGCACCATACACACTGCCCCTGCTCCCCGTCTTTAGTTAACCATGTGTCTTGGAGACGCCGCCATAGCCGCGCGGAGATATATCCAATCTCTTTTTTTTAAACAACTACCCAGGATTCCAATGTAGGTTGTGCCATTATTCTCTGAACATTTCCATCGTCTTCTGCAGACCTGGGTCTCCCCCGCGCTGGGCTCACATCTCATTAATCTCTGTCTTCCTAGCTCCTCCCAGCGGGGGTGTGGCTCCGAGATTTCTAAGCAAATCTCTGTTCAATGCGCTTATGAAGCTAGGATTCCTGCCCTGAGCATGCGTTCATCCTGACCACTCGCGGGAGGTCTTCCTGGGAATTGGGAGCTTGTCGCCGGGGCTGGGCGTGCACGTGGCAGGGATAGGCGAGTTCTACCAAGATACGATTATTCACTTCCTGCAGTCATGGTGCCAGTGGTCCTCTTTCACGTGGTGACAGCGATCCCACTTGATCATGTTGTTTCATCCCTTGTCTGTGTTGCTCAGTTTTCTGACACCTCGTTGATGTATTTTACATCTATACAGATGAGTGACCCTGGGTCTGTAGATCTGTTTTCTTGTGAATCTCTCTCTCTCTGACTTTGCCAACAGAGTAATTCTGATCTCGTAGAATAAGTTGGGGAGTGTTTCCTCCTCCTTTATCTGCTGCAAGAGTTTTTGAAGGATCAGTGATAATTTCTTTTTTAAATGATTGCTGGAATTCCTTAGTGAAGGCATCTGAGCCTGGAATTTTCTCGTGGGAGAGAACGGACAAGAGACTTCACCTAATCCCTCACAGAAGGGCTTCTTCCAGAGTTGGTGTCTCCTGACCATCAAGACTAGGGTCTTCTGGTCTCCATCAGCCAGGCCAGCGCTGGTGCCGCCTCATCCTGGGGAAGAGACCAGAGAGCCCCGATCCGGGTCACTGTCAGCTGCTACCCTCCCTACGGGAGCAGCAGACGAGCTTATCTTCTCGGTGGGTGCGCAGGAGCAGGCAGCAGGAGGAAGGGATATTTAACCTGGACCTTGAAGGATGGGTGAGACTCAGCCTTGCAATGGTGAGGGTTGGGGCAGTGAGGGCTGAGGAAGGGCCCGATCGAGGACGGTGCCTGTGACTGGAGGCCAGGGATGGAGCCACGGTGGCTGGCTCTGCTTCCTCCATCCCTGGGTGATGCCTCCCCCAGGGCCCACCCTGCCGCAGGTGATGGGAAAGTCAGGGGGCAAGGGTACTCTGGAAAGAGTTCTGTGTCTCTAAAGCCTGGACTCCAGCCCCGTAGCTCCAGGCTGCGTTTTTCTTTCCCTGAGATGATCTGTTTCCAGCCGATGACAGCGTGGTTTTGGTCCAGCATGTAGCATCTTTACCATCTTGGCCATCTTCCAGCTGGCATGGCTTTGGCAGTGGGCTTTACTCAGACCCTCTGCACTCTGACCAGCAAGGAAAGAATATTTCTCCTTTGTTTTTAAGGACCTCAGATGCACGGAATTAGATTAATCCTAATTCGTGGCTCATGACGTGCTACCATCATTGGATCACGCACAGTTCACTTTTGGCTTATTTTTTAATTAAGACAAGGGACACCTGTGAACTTGCCACCTAACTCAGTAACAGATTGTAAATAAAGTGTTATTAATTAGAATGTAATAGTAACTAGAATGCATTATTAACTAGAAGGTAATAATTCTAATTATTATTAGAATGTAAATACATTAGTTAATATCAAGAGATAAACTATTGTTAATTAGAATGTAAATATTAACCAGAAATACATTATGAATAAATATAATATGATTATAATTAATACACGCAAGTCAAGTAATTCAGAGTCACATAATAAATCCCTGTGAGCTCACCATCTAACTCAAGGGCTTAAATACTACCAACACCTTTGCGGCTACCTGGATGGTCCCATCTTATCCCCTCCCTCCACATCGCCTCTAAGTGAGCATTATCCTGAATGTTCAGTTCCTTATCCCCTGCTATTTTAAAAAGTTTTATCATGCGTATGTGTAGGCCTAAACAAGGTATCGTTTGGTCTCAGCTGGCTTTGAACTTCAGGCGAAGTGCAGCCTGCTGTAAGCGGCCCCTCGCCATCGGCCCCCAAGGTTTGCAGCTGCTCCGGGAGACCCACGCGAAAGCACGTCGCGGCTTGTGAGGCTTGCAAACAGTCCCCGTGAATGGTGCTGGTGTCTGCCTGCTGCGGCTCCAGGCAGAAGCCGCTGCAAACGGGCACAAGCACCCAGGGTTCCAGGCTGTGCCAGCACAGCTGCCCCGCCCCTTGGACACAGCCTCGGAGGGCGGGGTAGGAAATGGGAACTGGGCCCCCTGGGGCTACTGCTGGAAGGGCAGTACCCAGAGTAGAAGCAGGCCTGCGCTAAGTCCTAGTTTTTCCAGGAAGCCCTTCAGGCCGTGGAGGTGCTCTTAAGTGAGCTCCTTTCTGGGCCTTGGGCTCATTATGAGTGAAATGACATGGTTGGACCTCGACGGCCTGGCACCCCTTCCCAGCTTTGCCACCCTGTGACACTGAGCCACTTTCTCAGGTCAGAGAAGCTTCTTCATGCATAGTCTTTAATTCTCCAAAAAGCCTGTGAACCCCCCCGGGGAACAGAGTTACAAATTTACAGCTAGAAAAAGTATTAAATTCCAGAAAGAAGTACCAGCCACTTAGCCATTGGGAAGAGAAAGAGGAAGCAGGATTCCACTCCCTCTCCAGAAGCACCAGGGAAAATCTTCCTGTGAGAGGCCCCAGCCATTTTTTCCTGCAGCCCCCTGTGCACCCCACCTCCATCCTCGGTCACAACTCCCACCGGACTTTATGGCCAGCTACCTGAGTGTCTTCTCACTTAGGCTGCAGGATCTCAGGGGGCGAGGCTGTATTGGCTGCTGTTCCCCACATTTAGGACCACATCAGGCACATGGCAGGCATCCTGAGTGGATGTCTGCTGAATGCATGAATGATTGAATGAATGCCTGAATGAGTGAATGCACGCGTGAGTGAATGCATGAATGAGTGAATGAATGAATGCCTGAATGAGTGAATGCATGCATGAGTGAATGAATGAATGTGTGAATGACGGTACGGTCATAACGAGGAAGCCTGAAAGCCACTTACACTATCTTGAAGGTTGTAGCTGGGGCAGAGAGGGGGGGAAAGGCTTGTCCACTGACCAGAACTCTGGGTGTCGTGGTCCACAGTGATACTGAACGCTCACCCTTGTGTACAGCAACTGTCTGGAGAATCCCTAGAACATTCCAGACCACGACAATGAGGCAGCACTGCTTTACAGGCCAGAGCCATAGTTGATGGATAAATGAAATGATATGCCACTTTTCACAATGATTAAATAACCACCTAATTCAATGGCTTAGCAGTACCCTAACCTGGGCCTGCTATGTTACAGATAAGGGGACCATATAATTCATCTTTCAAATGAGGACACTTTGAGAGTGAAAGGGAGAGCTACAGATAACTACACCAGGAAAACGGTCCTGGGCACAGCAGGTCGTCCTCAGTGTTTCCTTTCCCCTTCCCATCACCTATCCTCACAGGGAGATAAACTTTCTGCAGGTGTAGAAAATGAGCCCCAGGGTCACAGTGCAAATGCTTGGCAAAGTGGAGACTGGACACTGGGCCTACTGTTGCCTAATTAAATGTCCCTTCCACTGATACCCACCCAAGAGATGTATTAGATGTAAATGATTGAGTCTGCACAGCAACTTGCTGTGTATCTACAACACCTGGGGGGAGACTTTTACGTTCTGGCAAGCCTGGCCCCATCTCACACCCCAGAATTACTGAATTCAGATCTCTAGGACTAGAGTCAAAACATCTGAATTGTCATCCGCTTCTCCTGGACACCTTGATGGAGAACCTGCCTTGAGAAAACTGCTTTAGCAATGAGTCCGTGGACCCATCATGGAAATGAGATGTTTGGGGAAGCTCTTAACCTTTTGATGTTGATGTCAAGGGGAAATGTCACTCTCCTCCAACCCAAGGCTGGTGTCTTTTGGGCGACCAGCGTCAGAGGTGGACTTCTGGGCTCGCTGGCTGGCAGAGCTGAGCCAGTGAAGTCTCTGGGAGTCTCACAGACATCGGATTAGGAGGCAAAAGGTAGCTGCTGGAATCTCCTTGCCTGAAGGTCTTTAAGAACAGGAGAGGCACCTGTCTGGGTAGGCGTGGGTGGCAGCGGGGGCGACAGTGCTGTCAGTCATACGCTACCAGCCTCTGCACACCCTGGAGACGATCTTTTGACAATTCGTTTAGGTGTCGTTGGAAGGGAAGGTGCTGGGAGCAGGTGGACTTTGCCTCTGGGCCGCAGTATGCCTCGGAGGCCAGGAAGGCTGGGTGTGTTTGGGGATCCAGGATCCGAGCGGCACAGACTCTATGTACATGATCCTCCTTCAAGCCCTTCCAAATCCTCAGGCTGCCTCCCCTCCACTAGACCTTGAGTTTGCATCGATTTCCTAAATGCACACATCGAAGGCTACTCGAGTATCCAAACCACTGACATTTGATCAAGCCGGTTCATTGCAAAGGACACAGACAGACAGACTCTTCACCACCATTAAAATAGATCTTGGGGTTTGAACGATCTTGGTCTGACTGGGCATACGATAAATCCCCAGCCAGGTTGTGTGTGCACTCCTCCGGGCCGGACCGCAGGTGTGCATACGGTCGTGGGGCAGCCCCAATCCTTCCTGTGATTAAAACTCTGCCTTCTAGTGATTCTGAGTGTCTAGCCTTTGTTCTGCCTCCAAAGCCATCTATAAGGCCACATATAAGTCCTTCCATGTGACAGCCTTTGAAGTATTTGAAAGGCACTTACTACCTCCTCCCTAAGTCTTCCCACCTTTAGCTCTGGTCCTAAGCAAAGAGGGAATCAGTGTTAATGAGTCCTGCATCCTGGTGGAGGGAGGTAAGAGCCTGAAGGGCAAGAGGAACTGACTGTAAGACGGGTTCTTCTACAACCCTTAGGTTCCAAAGCCGCGGTGTCACCGAACACCTCTGGGTACCTTGGAGCGTCACAACGCGCCCCCTCTGGGGCTTTTTACCATCGTTCATTTATTCGGTACTCACAGACCTAGCAAGGGTGGTGATGGGCTCTGAGGATAGAGCAGTAAGCAGACCCCGGCCCTCATGGAGATTGCAGTCTTGTGGAGGACACAAACACGTAAAAAGAGACAGAGACGGTTATGCAGGGGCATGACAGTCACCGTGGTAACATAAGCCCAGGGTGCCCTTAATCCAGCTGGGTCAGGCAAGGCTTGCCCAAGGTTGTGACCTTGAAGAATGAGGAAGGGAGAGGCTGGTGATGAGGGAGGGAAGAGTGTCCCAAGGACAGCTGCTGCTGAAGAAGGGGGCCCATAAGACAGGACCCCTCATCTAGTTGTAGAATTTGTAGTGTGCCCAGAGGGATGGATGGGATTTCGTGGCAAATACAGGGGAGGGGAGGTGCAAGCACCAGTCAGTGTGGCTTTGGATCATGCATGAGGTGTGAGCTGTGGATCAGCGTTGGGTCCGTGGAATAAGAATCTTCCCCTATTCCTATTCATCCGGGTAGGAAGGCACGGCTGAAACCCCAGGGCAGGCCTGGGCCAAGGGAACTAGGATTGGTTTTAGGACAGAGAGGCAGGCAGGGAAAGCTATTTGTAGGACTGGGGTATCAGTGGAATTGGCGAAACTGGCTTAGCCGTGGCGTTGGCATGAACGGTGTCATTTAAGCGGAGACAGGATGCGCCACCCTCCAAATCTCTCCCCTACAATGTCTGAAAGTCTTCACTCTGTTGAACTAATGAAAAACAGTCGCATTTTGAGGTTCATTGTCAGTGCCGCCCCTTGTATGGCTTTGTAATATCAGCTTGTTTCTCTTCTGATCCCCAGCGAAGACCCGCAGTCCCGAGTGGGTGGGGCCTTGACCCCGGGAGGAGTCCCTGGGCTGAGCAGGGCGACCTGCGGGCTTGGAGCAGGCGCAGGGGCTGGGTGCCTGACCCAGTGAGAGTGCTCGCTGCGGTGTTCAGTGAGTCGTCCGCACGGGGTCCCAGCTCCTCTGAGACGTCTTCTCTAACTCTTCCTTGTCATCCTTCAGCCCCTGACGCCCCCTACACCCACTGGAAGCAGACTGTCTTCTACTTGGAAGACTACCTCACCGTCCGGAGGGGGGAGGAGATCTACGGGACCATATCCATGAAGCCAAATGCCAAAAACGTGGTGAGTGCTGAGGCAGCCTCTGTGAGGCCGGGGTCAGAGAGGAGGAAGGACCCGGGGGCCGGCTTCCAGGGAGCTGCCAGGACCCACTTGCCCCGGGGGGCCTGGCTGCCTTGTGCACAACTGGTAAAGTTACAGGGGAAGCGGTAGGAAGGCGGGTTTGGATGTGATGGCCTCCTTCAAGGACTCCAGCCTGGACCCCTTAAGACTGGGGAACTGGAGCCTTTCTGTAGGACACCCTGGACACCCTCCCAGCCTTGAGGACAGCTTCCCGCCCTTGGTGGGAGGCGTTTTGGGAACAGAGGCTGTGGCCATGGACTTTGCCTCATTTAGGACCAGCTGAGCCAGGAAAGAACAGTGTGTGGTGGCTTGGAAGACCAGGTTCGCATTCCTCAGGCTGGCCTGGGGGTCTGGAGGCCGTGTGATTCTTTCTGAGCCCCCTGGGGTGCGGGCACGTGCCGGGCAGGCGCCGAGGGTGCGCCGAGGCTTCCGCCCTGGGAGACTCAACCGCCCCACTTCTCCCGGGATGAAACCAGAGGGAACATCTCTGTATTCTAACAGGAAGGACTTACTTAGGTTAGAAATCAAAGGCCTCCCCGTGAGGGTAACGAAGCACCGGAAGAGGCTCCCGAGGGCTGTTGGTGGGGAGTGGAGTCCTGAGCTGGAAAACCCTAGCGGCGCAGATGCGCCCGGCCCTCTGCCAGCGGGGAGGGGGGCGGTCCCCGCCTCCTTCCGCGCTGATGCCCCGGCTCCTCCTTCTTTGCAGCGAGACCTCGATTTCACAGTAGACTTGGATTTTAAGGGACAGCTGTGCGAAACATCTGTATCTAATTACTACAAAATGCGTTAGCACACGTGGGAGGCTGCAGAGAGCGAGCGAGCACGGAAACTCACCTCCGTCTGAGGCGCCGCCACAAGGGACCCTGTTTGCAGGACTACACGCTCCAAACCGGAGTCTGACACTCTGCCCTTGAGATTGGTGAACTCAGCCGGCCTCCTGAGGCCCCTGCCACTGGACAGAGGGCCTCCAGCTTCTCGGCTCTGCTCTGGGGGCCCTTCTCAGAGGCTCTGTCGTCCCGACAGAGAGCCACGGCCAGCGCGGCAGCCGGGCCCCGATGGAGGAGTCCACGCGTGTCCCCATCGTCCTCCTTAACCGTGACTCTCGGATCTTCAAGTTTTGCATGCTGCAGGCATCTAGGACAGATTGCTTCACTAGACCCTGGAGACTAGCGTCTTTGATAGCATAAGCCAGACGCTGTGCGTGCGGCGGTGCGCGTGCGCGGACAGCATACCTATTAGTTCCTTTACCCGGCACACTGGTATGTGCTTGCATATACAGCCAAGCGGTAACGTCCGTGTTCATCCAGGGCTGTGTGCGTGTGTGCGTGCGCGTGTGTGCGTAGAATATATATTACTCTCAGAGGAGATTCTGTTGCTTTCGAATAGGAATTTGTTTTGTGATTAGTTCTCCCCCTTCCCCACCCCTTCCCAGCTATGAAATGTCCTCTGTACTAGCTCCGGTCTCCTTTTGACTAGACTGTGGCTCCGAACCCTGGACATAGGACCATGCACTCCGTGGGCGCTCAATAAATGCACATGAGAGCAAAGCGATGGGGCGGCTGTGTTCTCGGCGCTCTGGGCAGGGGGGCGGGAGGAGGTCAGAGGCCACAGTGGAACCGAGGATCCAGTCGTGCCGCTCCCGAAAGGAAGGTAGCTCCTTGGTAAAGGGAGCCTTGAAGCTAGGACCAGTCCAAGGGCTTCTCCCTTGTGACCCTCAGGGGTGGGAGGAGAGTCCTGTAGCTGGGGTGGGGGGACATGAGTTAACCTCGAGTGCTCCAGAATGGGAGGCGAGGTGTAGCCCGGAGAGAGGCCAAGGTCGGGGCGGGAAAGGCTGGGAGGGTCCAGAGGAAGCAGGAGGTGGTGTGAGCTCACGGTCCTGGGCTGCTAGTGTGAGACGAGGGCAGGGTCTGAGGGCAAGGCTGGTGGAGGCACGGGCCAGGGCGTGGTGGTGGACAGTCTCGTGCCTACTCTCCCTCACCCCGTTACTGGCTGCCTAGGTGGGTGTCTGCCCTGGCCTGCACCCTCCCCATCAATGGGACCTCCCCCCGTCTTGAACAGGGCACCCACAGAGCCCAAGTGAAAGAACTTGGGTCCTGGAGGTGACATCCTAGGTTCTACAGAAGTTCCCTTCCCCAGAGTGGTTGCTAAATCTCCAGTTCCCGAAACGATTTCTGCCCTGCCACCTCTACCCCTTTAGACTCTGGTCCCATCGTGGAGAGGGCAGAGCCAGATGGGGGCCTGCCGGGTCAGCAGAGGCCTGGGATTCTTCGAAGGCCCAGAATGTTCCCTTCTTGGGAAGGAGCAGAAGGTGTGAGCTACTGCAGGGGCCTCAGGGAAGTGCCTGGTGACCCCTGATGCCCTCCTGGGCTGGAGAGAGCCCTGGGCAGGCAGAGCTGGTCCTCCAGCAGGGGTGCCTCATCCCATTGTCTGCAAGTCACACACTGTGATTGCATTTGCCATCCGGCTCCGAGGGACAGGTGTGCCCTGGACCAGGCAGGGCCTCTGGAGTTCTTTACCTGTCCCCGTTCCCCACCTTGCTGCTCCAGGGCTCAACCGTGGCAGGAATGAGATCTCTGTGGTCGGGATGATCACTTGGTGAAAAGATGGGGCCTCACCCATGGGCAGGGACCAGACCAAGCTGCCTTGAGGATTCAGTTGCCAAGGAGCCTGAGGGCTGCCTCTTTGGTGTGGGAAGGAGCGAGCCAGGCTGGCCTGTAGGTGGGTGTCCTGGGAATGGCCGTGCCCAGGAAAGTGACAACTGACTCCAGTGGCAGCGGCCCCTGCCCTTTCATTGCCCTCTGGCATCTGCGTACGTGTTGGCTTCCCCGAAGCCCTGGGAGCTGGGCACGGAGGCCCTGCTCACAATGGTAGCTGAGCCTCTGGGCCCCGGGGCGGGGGAGGAGTGGGGTCCTGGGGGGCTGGGCCCCCATCTCCACACCTGCTCGCGCGTCCTCTGCTGCAGCACTCAGTCCTCTGCATCTCCGGCTGGGGAGGCCTCTCTTTGTAGCTAGAGACAAACAACAGTGCAAATCGTGGAATGCTTTTGTCCACATGTTTTGGACAAGAAAAATAGAGAAACTTAATCGGGGAGAACAGTGAGTGCGTTAAAAGCAGGAAGGAGGCTGAGGAAGGACGGGGGGTCCCCCAGAGGGCACGCGAGGGGAACCCCTTAGTGGGAGTCGGGGAGCCCCTGGATTCTGCCCATCCCTGGGCAGGGAGCCCATCCGGGTTTGGAGAATTCCATCCATGGTCCACAGGGCCAAATCCCACATGGCCACCAAGAGCCAGCAAGGTTGATGACCTCCCGGGAGCTCTGGGCATTCGGAAGCTGCAGGCATTCCTGACACCCCTGGGGGCCGGAAGGGGAGACCCAGGCTGGGCAAAGGCCCGGCAGTATTGCGGGCCTCTCCAGCCAGAAGACGAGAAGCGGGCAGCCCCGCGGCCTCTCCCGGGCCCCGGGTCTTCAGCGCCTGCCACCCTGGCTCCTTGCTCTGCCCCTGGGCTGCAGGAGTGAAGTCGGGAGAGTGTGGAGAGGCACCTCCACCACGGCCCCCTCCGTCCTGCCCGTGGGAGCGCTGCAGTGGGACTGTCATCTCCCCTGATTCAGTGGGAAATGAGCAGTGTCTGCTCTGAGCACGCTCGCGATGGGATGAGGGCTCAGCTCAACAACAGGGATGCTGTGGAGATCACTTCACTTGTGGTGACTGTTTTCCCCTGACTCTGCCTCTTTCTTTTTTCCATCCTTCCTTCCTTGACTGTACCCGACTCAGTAGTGACTTTCTCCATGTTCCTCTCCTCCCTCTCTGGGGAATTTCTCCCTTCCATCCCACCCCACTTCTCCCCAGGCCTGCAGCCGCGGTGCCCCTTTCGTGGTCTTATTTGGCCTGGATTGTTCATGGGCCCCTCTACGCTTGCTCTGAGGCCCACTGCAGGCTTAGACTTCCCCGCTGGGCCACAAGCTCCAAGGGCAGAGATCTGCCTCTTTCTGCCGGAGTTTCCCCTGGACAGATGGGGGTGCAAGTGGGAGGAACCAGGCAACAGTGGACCAGCTTGACTCCCACGGAACGTGCCCTGGAACTACTCAAGGACCCCCAGGCTCCTGTCCCTGCGATCTCTGCCCCTCGGGGGATGCCCGTCTCCCCTTTGCCAGGCCCTCCCTGGTCCCCCCTCGGCAGCGTTCCTCTCCTCTGGGCACCACACCTGGTACTGCACCGATAGGCCCAGCGTGGTTCCAGACCTCAGTAACGGAACGAAATTAAGCCAGACCTCTCAGCCCATCCCCATGCCTCAGGGCGGTCACCTGCTCAAGCGCCTGTTCCTGGCCTACTGGCCAGTTTAGATCCGTGGGCTTCTGCCCTGCCTTGTCTCCCATCTGTAAGTCCCAGGTCCCACATAGGACAGGAGCTCCGTCTTGCTTTCACAGGCGCCCCTCTTGACTACTTGGCGGGTCCCCAGCCTGGTTTCTGGAGCCCGCTTCCTAAAGGCAGGTTTTTCTGGATCCCTGCTCCCTCCCTGGCGTCTTGAATGGCACCTCCCTGCATGCCTGGCTTCATGCCTGGAGCACAGCCCCACCTGTGAGGCATCCTACCTTACACGCCTGGGTGTGTGGAGCCCAGACCCTTGGCCTGTGGTCCTGTGACTGCCGGGAGGAGTCTGACTTCCTGGGGATGGGAGATCACCTCACACCTGTCTGACCACGCTGGATGTGCCCGGCTCACGTCCAGAGCCTCCGAGGCCGCTCTGCCCCCATCCTGTTGGAAACAGCCCATATTCAGCTGAGACTCAGACACAGCCTGCTCAGTGAGCAGAAATTCAGCCAACAAACACGTATTGGAAACGGCATGGGCTCCGGGCACTGGTAATAACAGAGCAGAGTCCGCAGCACCATCCCTGCCCTTGGGGATCCAGGTACGCACTGCGGGCTGGTCAGTCTCTGGGTGGGCGGGGCCTGCGCTTGCCCCAGAACTGAGAAGCGGGGTCCCTCAGCCGTCCTCCCTGACCAGCCCACCTCTCCCCCGTCCCCTGCAGTCTTGGCCCCCTCAGCAGGGGACACAAGCTGTGTCCAGGTGGTGGTGGGGGGCCTGATCTGCTCTAGAGAGAGACCCTGCTGAATTGCCCTGCTCTCCGCAAACTGCCCACGGCGGCCCAGCCTGTCACTTTCAGAGAAGGCCCAGAGCCCTTCCTGTACCCTAGCGATAGGTCATCTCACACCGCAGAAGTGAAAAGCGTCTTTACCAACCTCTAGGCTGTAGCCAATGACTCGGCCTCAAGAGAAGCCAGAACACACGGGGCAGAGGAAACCCCCAGGGTGCTGCGCCAAGGACCCAGGCCCATGCGGTCCCCACCTCCCAAGGCGAGCGTCCATCCCTGGATGACTCTGCCACATGACGGAGCTTTGGAGCCAAAGGACCCGGTCGAACCCCAGCGCTGGTGCTTAACTAACCACGTGAGTCTGGGCCAGGTAAGACTGAAAGGAGGTAACACGGATGAAATGAAAGAACTAGAAAACACGTTTGGAAATGGAAAGTACGATGGAAATTCCACTTATGGTTACTATAGTAATAACATTTCTGCCTGCTTTCCAACCCTGTCATTGAGAAGTACAGCTGGGCGCCAGCGCCTGAGGCCCGTGGGCCTCTGACGGCCCTGGGGGAACAGCAGGCACCGCCATGCACGGTCAGCAGCGGGCTAGGCCCTGGGGCTGCAGGCTGAGGCCCCGGGTTCGGGGACAGCACTGCAGGCGACACACGTGCAGAGTTCTGCCAAAGGCCCTGGGCAGGAGTGGCCTGCTTTGTGGCTTTGCTCGTTAGCTCATTAAAGCCTTCCCACGCGGCTCGCTGAGGTCTTGACGTTTGTCACCCAGCCTTTCGGCAGGCAGCGACCGCCTGGCACCAAGATACATGTGGCCTTCCGTTAGAATGAAAAGCTCCTCAATTACTGAGATGCCACAGCCCCACCTGGGGTGCTCTGGGCACGGCCTTCCCTTGTGGCTCTCATTTCTAAGAACCTCCTGGTGACCTTGAGACCCAGCTGGCCTAGGGCCCGAGTTGCATCCTGGGGAAGTGCAGTAGGAGTTTGCAGCATTCACTTCACCTTGGAATTCAACTCACACTGCTTTTCCCAGGAAACGTCATATTTGCTTTGGGTCAATAACATATTCAGTTTCTAGAATGGGGACACCTATTCTCTTTGACGGCTAGAGTGAGAGACTCAGAAGTACATTCCGGGAACCAGCAAGAGAGAGGAGGCGGGGACTGGTAAGACCCGCGAGACCCATCTTGACTGCAGTAGCAGCCACGGAAATGCTCCAGAGCTGCCTGGCTACACCGAACAGGAAATAACCGGCCAACACTCCACTGGCATAAATCGTCATTACTGTGACAGAGGCGTGTGCCACGACGGCGTGGTGAGTCGGGAAAAGAACAGGACAGGAGGGTCCTTCTCTGTGCTCAGGGCCAGGAGTGCGTCTCTCAGGAGAACGCCTATGCGGGGAGGAAGGTGTGGTCTAGGAATCCTGTGTGATCACCAAACGTGGAAGACCT